GGTAAGAGCTGAAAATAGTACATTTGTAATTAGGATGACAATATATGCTCTTTGACATCTGTAAAGATTTTCATTGTCTTTAGGGTGTACAACATATTGTTTTTACATTATTTTTGCTCCATTTGAATTTCTCAAATACTGTACAGTATACTCTTTAAGTACGCTAATGTACAATCAGACAACCTTGAACAGCAAATATCACATTGTTGTTTAATCTGTCAAGGAGGACAATATCTATTACTACTTAATGAAGCTAGTTGGGTCTTGCAAAAAGTTTATGTATTGCAAGTGCTCCCTGTAAATGTTTTTTCAAATGACTATTTCTGACTCAATCAGTCTTCTTTTTTACCATTTACATATTCTGGATATATTCATGTGATTCTGAATCAACCCATAAGATTTTCTTCACAAATGAAGCCTAGGTGGTCCAGTGATTAAGAAAAAGCCTTTTTAACCATCAAGTTTCACTCTTGCTCTTGCATACTGTCCTTATAGAGACTTTGACTCCATTAGTTGCTTTGCTAAAACTGTCTTTCAGCTAATTATATACCAAAGAAGTTGACCATTTTCAACTGTAAAAGACTCTTCAGTCTTTCCCTGAATCTTTGTGTAATGATAGTTAAACCCACACAAAGACACGTTTTCACTCGACATGGAAAGAACACGCGTCCATTTTTTGTTTACCTAAAAGCATTTGCATCCATCTGCACTTTTTTGTGAGCTAATGAAGGATGCGTGGCTTGATAAAGAAACATGATACTAACATGATAATTAACATAATCCACATTTAGAAACTGATATCACCCCCAACCCTTTAGGAATGCTCAACAGCCCGTGTCTTTTAAATCATTAGCACTTTTAGACCTCTTTAAATTGGTTCTGTGAAGGGAATACTTTGTTCAAAACCCTAATTATGGGTTCAAGGGGAATGAAAGGGAGAAGAACCCGCTGCCTTTGAGGACAAGACTTGAGGAGCAGTGACCTAGATCCTCTCTTCAATTACTTGGATCATCAGTTGTTGCCTAGCTGGTCATCCTGCAGAGAAGAAGAGTGTGGCCAGGCGATCTGAGCACAGCCTGGTGTTCCACAGGGTAAGCTGTAGAAGGTGAGGTGATTTTTCAGCCTTATTCCATGGGTACGCAGGGGTCAAGATGCTTCTACCCTTGAGTCCTGCGCCCCATACCACCACTACCGCCAGCCAGAGTCATCAACACTGCGCCGTCAGGGCTCCAGAGTGTGGAGTCTTACTCATACAGGTCACGTGGTGAAACATCTCACAACCTAAGTAATGGAGCACAGCCGCAGGAAGTCGAGTGGTGGTTCATCTCTCAGAGAAAATGACCAAGGTGGAGTCCTTTATCTCCTGCGTCAACTACACCCAGCAGCCTCAGATTTATTACTCGCCAGCTGGACCATCTTTAAAACTGTCATCAACCATTGTTAAGTCGATATGCTCTAATTAGCAATGTCTAGATGTCTATCAAATGGGTAAAGTGGCCCAAAACACTTTCACATCATGTCTAAAACAAGATCTGCTTATTTTTGTAGTTGCAGGCTTCTTTGGCAAACATAAAATTTGCCTTGCAGGACCACCTAGTGTTTATTTGAAAAAAAATAATATTATACTACAGTTTGGAATTCAATTCGAGTTGGAGGGTCTCAAAGACCATGAATAATATCACTGACACTACAGAAAGGTATTCTATGGAATTAAGATCCACTGTGTCACATGCTTTTATAATAAGGATCACTCCTCTTGGCCTTTACTTCCTGCATGATGGAACTGAGATTGTTTTTCTTGTTTAAATGGAACAAATGATTTGAACTTTAAAGTGTGAGGGGCTGGTAAAAAATGGGTAACTGCACATACAGTACCACTTTATCTGGAACAGACACCGTTATCTTGATAACACCAGAATCTCACAGCTTTTTATTGTCCATCAGCTTCCACATAAAAGGTAATTCATTTTCAGGTAGGAAATCACAGCAGTTAAAAATCTGTTTTGACTATGTTGCATAATTAAGTTTGACCGCCAACAATACACTTTATTAACTGCATCTTAAAGGACTTAGGAAGACCTAGAAACAACATATAATATTAAATAAACAAAACATAATATTAAATAATGTTCAATTTGGTTTCAATATGCCTTGATTTGTCTGAAAAACTGCACATTGTGATCCATCTGCATAAATCCTCTTTCAGGTTGGTCTTGGAAATTAAGGTCAGTGTTGAGAGTGGATCAGAGCCGTAGTGCAAATTTGCAGTGCTTCTGTTGGGGTGAATGTACAGTACTTGCATATTTAGAAATCAGGTTCAAAATATTGATGTTACTGTTACTGTTACTGCTGATTCCCCAAAACGCTTCCAGCCAAATCTATCTTGCAAAGCCGAACGCAAGCTGAGAGATACCCTTAAAATCGCGCTTGGCCGAATTCTGCTGCAGAACATGATCTTATTTACAGTAATACGATGATGTGTTTTAATTCCTAGGTTTTGAAATAACGAATACAAGAACCATTAAAAAAACACTGCGTTCCAGAATGTGAAACTTCCTGAAAGTGGTGACTTTTATAGGATAAAGTTATCCTAATTTCTGTAGTTGCAGGTAAATTCTCAATAATATAGACAATAGGGAAACCAAACAAGTTGCATGGAATTTCTCAGAAAATATTTGTGTTTTACTTTCATTACAGTCCCACTTCCCAGATTACCCAAGGATCTGGTTCCTCAAGTCTTTACATAAACTGAATCTTACAGTTCATAAATTGGAAAAGACATCTTCTTAGCCATTGTGAGAAGACGCCTAGAGAATTGCCACTCATGACACTGCAGAGATCCATCCTTACTTGCCCTAGGTGTGTCTGTGAGTGAGGAAGGAGGGACAGGAGAGCAGAACTGCAGGCTCACCAGAATGTACTGTCCTTTATTGGCTAACAGGTGTGTGTGTTTAACACCAAGACAGAGCATTCAGGAGCAGCCAGCAGTTCATGTGGCAGAGAGAGAGAGGAAACTGTCCCCCATACTGTATATAAAGGAAGAGAGAAATAAAATAATGATGAATTTAAAAAGAATTCAGAATCCTTGAATTAATGCCAAATATAGAATAATATACTTAAAAGTATACAGTACAGCAAATAAACCAGTATTGTCTCTTAACACATTTATAAAAAACTGGACATTTCGGTATTATACTGTACTGTAAACCAAAAAAATAATAAAAGCACTTGGGCGTTTCCCTGACAGGACTGCTATATGGATAACGCACAATTTTTAATGAAGAAGTGAGAGACGGTATGCAGATGTTACCACACCTGTGTGAAGGCAAAGAGTTTGAAGTGTAAAACAGAGTGCTGGCGGAGTCTGCATTAACTTAACTCCGCGCCACTCATCCGCGGAACAAACTTACAGCACTATTTGCTCTCCAGGTATGTAATGTGAACTCACCTCACCTAGAAAAAATACGCCGAGTATTGCATAACCCCGGGTAAGGGCTACTTTAGCAACAATAAATAAAACAATGATTTATTATTTTAGAAATATCAAATACAAAAGTAGTGATCTAAAAAAAAACGCTAAAAGAGAAAAAATAATCCGGCTGTTATTTTCCAGTGTGGGCAATCTGCCCACTGTGTGGTGAATGGACAAGAAGGGCACTTACTGTACTGTAGCTTGTGGGGAATTTCAATTTGCATTAGCGGAGACGTTCATCCCAGTTGTGTGGTGCTATTTATATTCCAATAATAAAAGGGTTGCTGCTCAGTAACAGTAGCAGAGAAGAGACGAAAAAAAACGATTTTGCTTATTTCTTCCTGATTCCGATTTCAGTCATACGAATCATTCCCTACCAAAATCTAAGCCTGGCTACAAAACAATTACCTGGGGGGGGTGGCTTCTGACCTGCTGAGTTCAGAAATGACTATAATTTTTTTATTTAAACAAAATATCCCTTCGAGTTGTGACCGGGCAAGGGTCAAACCCCAAAAAAATGACCTTGACCCGAAAAATCACCCTGCGAAGAACTCGTGATGAAAAGGGAGAAACATACCAGAAGACCCCTAACTCACTTCTGGATATCGGCCAAGTAAGGAGCAACTGAAGCATTTTATTCAGTCTTCACCCCAGTCCTGTACAGGGGGATACGGGCTCTAAAATGTAAGCATTGCTGGAAGAATGCTAGAGACCGCTCTTCCAAAACTGGCTTCAGGTTCTCCCTCATCATCTGGCACCTCTGAAACATGAATTTGTTCTGTTTTTACCTAGCCTAGTCCAAAAAAGCTTGTGGGCGGATAGTTTTGGATAGATGCTGATAAGCTCAAAAAGCTTTTATAGAAACTATCAGATTTTATACACCTACATTGAAGTGCTTTGATTTCTAGCTACAAACAACAGCTCTTCCTGGGCTAGTGCCCCACATTAAATACACTGCCTCTGCATATTATATTTTACTACTAAAATTCTTCTAGTGTTCTTCGTCCAGATTTTCCTGTTTTTCATGAACTCTCATACTACTTTATTGGACTTTAAACCTTCCAGTTACAATTGAATGATTTTATAAAACTTCCATACAGTATATACAGAAAATATAACATTTGTATTTCACACTTGGATAAAGAGAACGAGAAAAAACAGTCTAATTTTCACTCAGCTACGATTTATAGAGAATATAATAGACATGTAGTTGAGAAAGAGAAGTTTTCCCTAGATAATAAAACTAGCAAAGCCATTTCTGTTTAGTTTGATTTAAAAGTAAAGTGTATGTTGTACCTCAAAAAGCCCAAGGAAACGCATTGTGTACTAAGTTTTAAAACAAAAAGAAGAAACTGCTGGCTTCATGGAGCTCTCACAAGATGTACAGTCACAAAAGCTAGATCTCTTTTGAAAGCACTTAAAACAATCCCAGGCAGGCTTACCTGAGTCTTCTGTAAGTACAGTAGAGATGTGATTTAGGACAGTACAAAAGGCATTTCTGAGCAAGGAAACTGAACCTTTTACTTACCTAAGGAATGTGCTGCAGTGGTCTTGGAGCTGAAGAAACGTCCCAACCCCAGGTCTCCCAGTTTTACCTCCCCTGTTGCTGTTATGAACACATTAGCTGGCTTTATGTCTAAAAGAAAAAAAAAACAACGAAAGTTTTTATCAATTTAAAATTCATACTAAATCTAACCAAAGCAAACTACAGCAGACTAACTCAGCCAGGATTAATTACAATTATACTCATTTAAAACACTGTATCAATTCTAAACTAAATTAACATTCAAGGTGGCACCTGGCAAAAGCAAATACACCTTCAAACAATAATTAAGTGGCAAAGAATAATTAAGCAAATATTTACAATTCTAATTAGTCAAGTCATTTGATTAACGACTAAGCAACCTTAAAATGAGAGAGAAAAAAAATCAAAGAAACACAATTAAAAGCACAATGTGTTTAGAGCATTTTACTCATTAGGAGTTGGTATCAGTCACCCGTTAAATTTAAGGGACATAAAAGACACATCTTTTTATAACTTTCTTAAAGATAAAGAGGACTTTTACTGTCCTCTCCCAACATTTCTGTGATATAAAATTTAGCAGTTCTTTACACAGAAACGTTTTCCAACATTTCCTTATCTATCGTACATCTATCTCCGAGACCTGGAATTCTTTATTTCCCATTCTTGCCTATCCACAGCTTCAGAAATGGTAGTTAGATTTTTTAAACCGTCAAGCAATGTAGTTCCTGTAAGATTTTCACAACATTTTTTGCTCCCGTGTTTTGTGATATGGAGATTTCAGGCATAATCGGATGTTTCAATGTACATTTTACCCCAAATAATGTATTATTAATTATTATTCACCACGAAATGTTTGAAGGCCTTGTACATACTGTTTCTGTTTTGTCAAACGCACTGAGTTTGCAAAGCTGTGCAAGTTGTTTTACCTTTTGTTTTTGATATGTATTATCATTGCTGTGTGCCAAAGGGTGAGAAAAACACTTCATTTAACACTAAGTATGTGTGAACATTGCTTTACATTTGAATGTAGATAATGAATTTGCCTTCTGAAACAATATGCAGATGAAATGCGTAACAGCAAATTCCCTCATTCTGGGAAACAGAATGACCAAAAGCCGGCTGCTGGAATATCAAAAGGCAACACAAAACACAGGTGTTAGACATGAAAATACAGTACAACGCAATTCATTTCTGCCAGTAATTTATTTCACAATGTAAGTTGAGAAATAAAAATGTCAAATGTTTATGCAATTTCCTTTTTTTTTTCTGGCTAATTAATTTTTCCTCCCATCAATCATACCCAGAATGCTACAAACAGAGTTGGAGTGTGCTTTGAATGCAAGCAGGCATGTACTGTATCACCTCACCGAACCAAAAGCGTGTCGCTAACGAGAGGTGTAATTAAGTTTCTAGTTTTACAGGCAGTGTTAACTATTCTTTTGTATAATGAGCTGTTTATACTAGTTCAGTAAAGACTCGACATTGAAGAGTACGCAGCTTGCTACCAGGTAACTTAATAATTTTATTTTTCTCATTTGTCAAATAATTATAATAACTATTATTATATAACCAGGATATGAAGCCAGATTATGAAGTCACTTGCCTTTTTTCTGTGATGAAGTCCTACCAGATGAATACAGTTGATTCATTATTCATTTGTGAAATTGCATTGATCATATTCAACGATCTTTATTATCATGTTTGATTCAGTGGCAAATAAATGGCTCAGTCTAAAATTATCACCTTCCTCTGAGGAATTCTTTCAATACAACACATATTTATAAATGTTTCTCTTCTCATGCATTACTTACTGTACTAGTATGTCAGCAGTTTAGTGATATGAAGCTTCAATTAAAAATTAATCAGTTTTACAACAATTTGTCACATTGATTTTGTCTGGGTCAGTTGCAACTCAGAGCAACTGTTCTGTAGTTTGGCTTTATTCCACCAGTTCACCAACAAAACATTTGGTGTTTTTTTCTATCAGCAATCAAAAGTTTAATGGAATACTTCATTTAATTTCTCAATTTGCACCATACATATGAATTGAAGCAGATATAATTAACTTAGCAATAAACAAAGCAAATTGTATCAACATTCCCTCTTTTAGGAATGAAGAGTTCACTTATCTGCATTTCAGCAATATTAATTAGTGTTCTAAGGATTTAATCAAAACTGTGATGGTGAGCTGGACGTACTTAGAAGGTCATTTAGGTTTTGCATCAACTCTTTTTATTTAGTTTATACGGAACAGGACAACAGGCAGGTGAATTTCTTCTGAAATCATGTTGACCAATGGAACTGAGCACGGACAGACTCCATTTCATACTGATCTCACTAGGACATTAGAACCCCCAATGCTCACCAAGGTTTTCCTTTAGATTACACTAAACTTTTTGTTTCCATTTTCACATTATAGGCTGTGTAGGTCAGTGACAAAAAAAATGCCATATCAACATGTTGCTATTTCAGTGTTAGTAATCCTTAGCGGGGATGCAATTTGAGGAATTATTATTTCTTTAAAAAATCTAGCACATCTGGCAATCCGTTTTCACCATGTTTGGGGATCGCTGGAACACCATGCAGACAGTTCCACATGGGGACTGCTTCTGATCCTCACTGTGGCAGATGTTCCCGACACCCACGTACATATGCTTTGCCATTACCTGTGATAATGTGCTTCGGGGTTCATGTAACAGGTACGCTAATCAGATCTAACTTGTCTTAGATCAATACCAAAACCTAACTCATACCAATGAGCTCTGGACTGCTCCTGCACAACGCCAGCTCTCTGGTTGTGGTTACTGTTCCCTTCGAAGGTCTTCACTTGGGTCTGTGGCTTACTGTAGTCAAAACTGTATTAGAGACACTGGGTGGGGGGCCCTTTAACTCTTACATGGGTGGATTCAATTATTATTCAATTATTCACATAGAGAATTGTACAGCTAAATTACACTGTTCAGTTCCAACAACTCTCTCAGCTTGGACTGTAGCTTGGACACATATACCTCATTTCCTTTTTTTTGGGGGGGGGGTTTAGTTTTGCTCTGACCTCCCTCCTCTTTCTTCCTTTCTCCTATTCTCTTGATGTTTTTTTATTTCTAGCCACGTTGACGCCTGAAATTAGAAAATAATCCTGTCGTGGAATACGAACCACACTAGACCCTTTTGTTCCTCCTTGTCAAGAATTTTAATGGACACAGCGCGGGCCATGGAACAAAAACAAACAAACGTGCACATCATTATTTCATCTTTATCTCCAAATGGGGAAGAAAACAACAGTGCATCCCAGTCCAGTGATTTGTGCACGTAAAAAAAAAAAACAACAACATAGGTTTTGTATCGGAGATGAGAGCGATTACCTCTGTGCATCACTCTGCGAGAATGCATGTGCTCCACCGCACTGCATAGCTGCACAAAATATTTCCATACTGTCCTTTCAGGGATGAGTCGCCTCTTCTTTTTAAAATACTGTGGAACAAGAATAAATAAAAGATGAGCGAATAAGCAATGAGCAATCTGCCATCTCCCAACCCATGTCAGTCAACACAGCAACTGCCGACACACTGCCAAACATCAAAAGAATTATTTATCTTTTCATTAACATTTTAACCCTCTCCACTCCACTGTTTGCACTGGCAATGAAGAGCCATTATAAGATGCTGCCTAATGAGGTTTGACACTCCCGAATGGACACCGCACATAATTAACACTAATCTTGTTAATTAACTGGTGAGACATATTTAATGCCTCAAAACAACAAATGTTTAGATATTCTTTCTTTTAACATTTTGCCATCAGCAAACTAAAGGATATTTTTTGACAAAGATCTGCAAATCAACAGCTATAATTATGTGATGTCTGGAATTCCTGCTTAAAAATGGACTGAAATGAAAGTTTTTGCTTTGACAAAAGAAGGGCTTTGAATTTTTATTTCCTTTAAGAGGAAATGGAAGTTTCACTGAGAGATTATACGCCGTGATTTAAATATCGCTGACATTCAAATTTCATGACTTAAAGAATTTTACCCATTAAAAAGTAAAGGAATAAATCAAGAATGTGCATATGGTGGAGAGATTTGTAGTATATCACCTTGGAACTGAAAACCTCCTTCACCCCAAACTAATTTACTTAGATCTTTTTTGAAGGCAATTGAACAGCATAATAACTTTTTTTTATTAATTGTATCCTTTTACCGACTTTGGTGATATTATATTCTCATTAAATAATATCACTTGTATTTTAAATTGTCATGAGCAGTTAATAAATATATTAAAGGTTGAAACTTTATGTTTTGAGGCAGGGATGCTCAAACAGAGCTATCAATACTCTATAGTCTTCTGCGGCCGAAACGTACCCAAACATATTATCCACAACTGGAGCACCAATGGTTTTAAAATGATTAAATAAACACTATATATAATATTCATCATTTATATGCAAAGAACACAAAAAAGCCATTTCTTTCCCCACAACAGACTCACTCCAGCTACACAAAAATTGGAACGCAATCCAAGATTTCATGGAAAATACACCTCAATCCAGGATTTAATCCCAAACTGAGCCAATCTTGATGTGCACAATTCACTGAATTAACTGAATATCCTGTTTACCCTAGGAAAAAACTCCATATCTTTCATATCTAAAGTTTTTCATCTTTATTTCGTACTATACAGCTGGTCCACGATACACACAGAAGGCTTCCCAAATTTAGTTGTCAGAGTCCCTTCTGCCATAAGGAAACCATTCAAGCATTTGTTAGATCTTGACCTGAATCATTCTACTTTGCACATTGTTACTAGAAGGAGGCAGATCTTCTCTCAGTCTCTGTTTTCCATCACTGTGGCCAGTGAGATAGGAGCAGGAAAAGTTTAAAGGAGGGCGTACAGGATGAATGTCCCTAGTGATCAGTGAGTGAACTTCTGCACCACAGAGCGACTTAATTCCACACCACTGAACATTTTCTTAGCTGTTCCTGTAGACCCCTGTTTGAAATCGTTATCGTCTCTACTCACTAGTAAACTCTTCGATTCACTTTTAAAATGTGCCATGAAATAAGTGCAGTTCAACTGAAGCAGCAGTCATCCAATTAGTGAAAAACACTGCTTTTAAAAAATGGATGTCAATAAATTTCTCTACAACTGTATTAACGTAAATAGCCATGCTAATCAAAAGTTGAGAAGCAGGAGCAGACCAACAGACTGATAAATGGAGAGAAAGACAGACAAGCAGAAAGGGAAGTGGGCAGTTTTGTAGTCAGTCAGAATTCTGTTTCTACTACATACAGCATTGCAATAAAATCATCTCTGGCCAGAGGGACTTAGGTTTTTTTAATCCCAATTGACTTTGCTGACATATTTCCTCTGGAAAGAGTAATTCTCTGGAGGGATATAATATTCTGGTGAATCAGCTTCATAACACCTGATAAATAATGCAAAAGACAGGAATATGGTAAGCAAAACCTTGCATAATGACTATGACTGTTGCATGCTTACATTCCTGGTAGCACAAATAAAATTAAAACAATGGAATACTGCCACGTAAAAGAAATATTTCACAGATGATCTTTAAATGTTCAGGGATTAATGTGTTACATGGGTAAACGATTTTAAACACATTTAAAATGTGAGAAAGTATATCAATAATCCTTCAAATCATAATACACAGTGCATCCATGAAAAGAGAAACAATTATCTTACTTATTTTTTATGATCATCCTTTCAGATCCATTTCAAATTAAAATGGAGTGAAGGTAAAATCAGTAGTGTATCTGAAGAATGATAATCCCAGCAGTTTAAAAGAAACGTCAGACCATTCGATAAAGGAACACTTTGCATTTGAAAGGGAGATATTGCTATAGGTTATTAGAAAATAACATAAATGCTTGAAAGTCATTTGTATGAGAGAAAAAGCCTAATCTACAAAACAAATTGTATTTTCAAGCAGCCTGAATCTGAAAAAATAAGCATGTCATTTACTTGTACTACATCTGCAATCTGTTTTGAAATAAGGACGAAGAATGATTATATGATTATTCTCACCTTAATCATCTGAGAGAGATCTCCCGCATCAGCTAATTCTAAAACAATGTTCAGTTCATTGTCTTCGATAAAGGAATCCAAATACTTAATAATATTGGGGTGATTCAACTGCTGCAAGAGAAAAAAGAAAGATGCCTTTAAATGCAACTCTTCGGTGCACATGTAATTTAAGACTGCATTTTAAGGAGATAATTTAATCACTGTCACCCTTTCACTTCCTTAAGATTCATTTTAAGTTGAACGTCTAGTATTTAAGAACAAGTCTTCTACAGTACGTGACAAAAAACAGTTGTGCCTATTCTAAGTTTTAAGAAACTCCAAATCAAGAGAAGGTCAACAACACAGTACCTTACTGAGTTTAAACTGTGGAAAATAAAACTCTTAGAATAATCATTTTAATAATACCATCTCTTTGATAAAATAGATTAATGGCAAAGAACAAGACGGCATACAAAAATAAATATAACAACATTCCAATATTCATATTCAACCATCATCATAAAATTTGATTTCAGAGCTCTGTTATTTTTTACAAAGCAACAAACGTTCAGAAACACACTCTTGCCAAAGGCTCTAAGGCTGTGTGGGTTTCCAGAAAAAAAGGCAAGATCTTTCCTGGAGCACACTTGGAGCCAGTTTCACAAAACACTTAACAAGATGGTAGTTAGCATAAATACTTAAGCTAACTTCTTTCTTGTCTTTTCACAAAACAATATTTCAAGACATAATGGACAACGGTCTAGGAATCACCTAAGCTCAAAATGGTTGAAAGATGTCTGATTTGATTTTCTTCAGTATTATTATCAGAACCTAGAAGGCTCTCTCCTGACTTGAGAAGCTGATTGCTGGATTGTACTTTGAGAAACCTGCCTTCAGACATTTTTTCCTCTTTAGCCAGTGAGGGCGAGACTCCAAACTCATGTGTCCTCCGTCACATAAAAATGAGAGATGGTACAGTATAGACTACAGCTACATTAATTAAGTACAGTATATTGATTACATACACTTCATCAGCTTGTGAACATGTCTAGCAATCTTCCTGACGTTACTACAGTGGTACCCGTGGTCTTTGAAACACAGATCAGTGAGGAACAATTATATCACAACGCCCTTGCTCTTTTTCGTTTTAAACTTCACTGACAAAAGATTCTGTGTCCTAAGAAAGTCCGAAGAAACATTGCTTCCTGAACTCTTTCCTTGCGAATGCAGTGCTTTATCAGCACATTCCTTGGCTAAGAAAACCCTGGAGAACAGCAGCAAGGTCAGAGGATCTTTGCCTGGCCTGCTTGGCGTTAGCAGGTATCTCTGCTGCGGGTCACAGGGCCCGTGTGAAGTGTCTGATTCTCAGTCCCGTAGGGAGCAGCATGGCCAGTGGTTTCCTGTTCAGAATGAGCAATTCATCATCTTTTTTTTTTATCACTTCCCAAATCCACTGCTATTAAACGAGCTACATTTATTAGCCAAAAAACGGGGGGGAACGCATTCAGTGATCGCCGGTGGGTGTTTGTTTGGTGTTTTTGTTCGTACGCTGAAATTTAAAACCCCCCCAAAAATGCACGTGAGCAACAGAAGTGAGGGTTTCCCGACTTGTTTCAGTTCATTTGTTTTATATGGTTTCTATACTTCCTGTCTGACTTCTTTTTGTGGTAGACTGCAACATATATGGAGCCCAGAAGACCTGCAACACTTATGCAGTATCCAGTTCTCAATCTTATGCTTGTTCAAATAATTCCTGTGCTCCTCTTTCTCCTGTGTCAATACCAGTGTAGGTGTAGGTGAGCACACCTCTCGCTGGTGTGCTTTTACCACAGGAGCTCTGGTGCACTGGGCACACCGAAGATACGTGCATCACCCACAGAATGAGAAGAGTGTACAGTATGTGAACAGACTGACCCACAGAGGGCTGGTGCACCTCTTACAAAGGCTGATTTAAGCCTCTCACCTAGAAGCCACTGTCCCCAGTATAGGAGGAGGGGTCTTCCTACAATACGGGAAACTGGTTCATAGGTAGGGTGAAGTGTAAGGACAGTGTTTCTGTGCTTTATCATCTCCTTTTTGACAGTTAATAATAGCGACAAGCACTGCACCTTATTTTACACAGGACTGTGTTCTATGCATAGTTTCTCAATACAGAAACTGCAGACGTCACTACAACACAATGCAAAGAATGTACGCTATGTTGGAAAGCACACCTGTTATAAATTGTGAGAAACCTAAAAATAAGCAATATATCCTGTACTGTTGATGAAAGAGCACAGCATTATTACATTGCAATAAAAAGATACACATCTCGTAACACTTGAAGCCTTCATATAACATCATTAGGCACTTAATTCATCCTCTCAGCAAGACATTTGCTTTTAATTCAAATAATGGAGAAAGAAGGACACAAACCTCCCATTAATCTACCACTTAGCACTACAGAGCTCTTACTATCAAGACTCAAGCTTGTTGTCGGCCAGCAAGGTGGTGGTCTTGCTATCAGAGAGAACGGTGTCTAGCCTTCCCCTGGGAACAAGAGCCGTGTCGTTGCTCACAAAGCGAAAAGACATACAGCAGCTTTACCATGCATGTTTCAGAAGACAGCTCACATTCCTTCCTCTCCCTCGTGAAGGGTCGATGATGGGCTGAATTATAAGTAGCTTATGTGTTCCGAATTGGTGCACATGAAAGGGGTAATACTGTATAACTGTCAATGACTTACAAAAGAGAAAAAAAAAAAACCAAAATACTGCAGTTCCTACAATTCATGCTTTGCCTTGAAATCCCTTTACGTGAGCACCCATCGAATGAGCAGGGCAGTTCATTTCAAACCAGTTTGATTTGAGGTGCCATCTGAAGAAAAAGCAAGACGTTTTTGAGTTACCAGCACGCGCTCTATTTTTTAAAATAAAAAACACCCCTTCTATTAATTTTTGAACAGACTTCTTCAGCTGTGCATTTCCTCCTGGGATGGAACACTGGTCCCCCAAATGCTCAACAACAAAAGCTTCAGATCCCCTGCTCTGTTTCCATTCTGTGGATCTGACACATCCTTTCGACTTGGCAGCAGGCCCTGGCTGGTCTTTTGATCCCACTGCCAGACTGCGCGAGGGGGAATCACACGCCTGATACTGTAACACCACCCCGTGATCTGCCCAGCCCCGAGCCGAATGCGAGCACGAAGAGAACCCACAAAATATTACACTGGCTTTCTTCTGTCGAAACACCGTCAATACGACGAAAAGCGCTTTAAAAAAAGACAAAAAAAAGACAAAAAAAGATCAGGAATTCAATTCTAAAGATCTTCAACTTTTAACAGCTGTTCTGGAAAGAAAATTCTAACACTAATATTCAGACTTGTTTATGTACTTATTTAAAAAAATAACATTTCAGTCAGGGTGTGTATTGTTTCAGCTGATGCTGAAGATATTATGCAAGGTGGTAAAGGTCATACACCAACATTTAATGTTTAGATTGTACTAATCAACATATTATAATCTTGATGACTCAAAGGGGAATAACCAGAAGGCTAATATTACCTTCTCCCTATTAACAACAAGGGTCACATCATTTATTACAATTCAGACAAGTCTGATTAACTCCTTATAATTAAGCAAAACTGAGCTGCCTAGCTGGAGGGGAGAAAACGTGATTTTTTTAAAAAACTTGACTTAGATGTCATAACAAAGATGCAAATACAGTGGGAAACAACTGAAAGCTGTGTTACCCCTCAGCAAATGTGCTCACTTCCCCCCAAAAAATGCTCTATTATGTGTCAACATAACACAGGAGGCTCCAAAATGCACAAAGACAGAATCCTTTCAAGCTTCTTAAAGAGAATAACAGCAACTAAACAGGATTTCTTCCTCCCGCGTACAGTTCTGATTACAAATCACACATTTATCCGCTCATTGCAGGATGGTATGTCATGTCAGGGAGACTCTTTCTGAACTGCTGTTATGTGTTGCTTGATAAAAAGAAATACTTAACATAGCTCTAGTAAAGGGCCTGCAGCACAGTTCCCCTAAATTCACAGGCCACAGTTCCATTCCACTACACCGCAGACAACTGCTAGATCCTTCTCTTCAGTTATCCGAGGGACGGCGGGTACTCTGGAAGCGAGAGTACTTCAATGTAAGGAGGTAAGACGGACCATGAGGTGCCATAATGTGAGGCAGGCTGAGGTGTTACAGCAATGTCTGCCACAGGAGCTCTGTGGAAGAGGGCTAGAGACGGGGAACTCTGATCGCACAACCAGTGACCTGTTCTGAGCCGGGAGATGCGTGGTGCTCCAGGTCATACCATACAGTCTAAAACATCCCTGTTCGGCACCCTGGGTGCTGCTAAATAACTCGTTTTGGAGAACTCCCACTTGCTGTTTTAAGGATTTTGTTTAAGAGAAGGCAACAATTCATCTGATTATTCTAAATGCGATATCCAAATAAGTCCTTTTTTTTTTTTACAAATAGAAATGGTTAAGTCAATGTTATTGATTTACAAAGCCAAAATCTGACTTTTCTGTAACTTACCCTCTCGATGGCATTACCTGCACCATTACAATCTGACTGCAATCCGATGGCTTGAATCCTATTCCTATTTAGGTACACAAAATCTTACTGAAATGCATTTTCCGTTGGATGTTAACCGGGGAAGTGCTATACACTTGAAACTATATTATCCAAGATAATGATGATGACAACATTAAAATGAGTAATGCATTTTTTTTTTAATGAGTGGCTTTCCAGGAACTCAAAGCTCTGTTGTCCTCAGTAATGTAACCAAGAAAGAGCTGTTCATCCCTGTGCCAGTATACAGTACAGATTTGTCACTGCAAATAAATAATGCCTTACAGGGCACAGTGGAGGCAAAAGGACATCTACCGAAACAAGCAGAAGGAGTGTTGAAGAAGCTGTGAAGCAAGTCAGCTGATGGACACGGAAACACAGGAAACACTTCGGCACAAAGGCAGTGTGTGTCCTCAGAAGAGGTGGCCGACAAAATGCTGGCAAAGCTTGCACGTTACCTCTTCTCTACGGCCATGTTCTCCCCACTGTTCTCAAAGCAGTCTCTCATAGTTTCAGAGGGGAGCCGCAACACACTCCTCCAGCAGAAAGTGCTGCTGCCAACGC